TTCCTCCCTCCTTCCTTCTCCCCCTCCCTCCCTCCCTGAATTGAGTCCACCACCTCTGGATTCAAGATTGCTGTTTCTTGCCTACCATCAGACCTGAAGATGGTAACGTTACTATTTTCACCAAGTTGATGGGGAAAATGGAATAGCTCCTGGCAAGATTCCTGATCCTCTTGGCTATAGCTATAGCCATTTTTAAAGAATAAATGCATCTCAGTTTATGTCCTGAAATTGTTTTTGACCATTTTTTTCCAGTTTTATACTTGTATTCTATAGAAAGGAAATTAGCCAACTTATTCCGAGGCCTTCTTTCAATCTACCAGCTAGGTAATCACTGCCATTTAATCCTTCTAGAACTACTTCAAAAATCCTGGTCCAGTAGCATATTTGATGTAAAATTATCTCTTTCTGTTCTCAGGTTGCTTTTGATGAAGCTACAGATGAATTTGCTTCTTACTTCAACAGACAAACTTCTCCGAAGATTCTCATCACAACATCAGATAGACCTCATGGGGTAATAAATATATTAATTAGTATAGTTCTTGAATTCCTAATTTCCTTTTATTTCTTATACTATTTAAAGGAATTCTGTTCAGAAGAGTTAAATTATTAGTAATTGCCTTAGATGCTGCCTGTGAATAAGCTAAATAAAATGTAATACTGGTGATGCAATATAGGTTCACTAAGCATGATTCTTCAGGATAGGGTTTCTTGACCTCAACACTATTAACATTTTAGGCTGGGTAATTTTTTGTTATGGGATTGTCCTGTTCATTATAGGATATTTAGCAGATATCCCTGGCCTCTATCCACTGAATATTAGTACCAGCCAGCCCCCAACCCCAGTCATAATCACCAAAAATGTTTCCAGACATTGCCAAAGGTCCCCTGGTGGAGCAGAATCACCCCCAGTTGAGAACCACTGCTTTTAGGATTATCAGCCTTTGGTAAAGGATGAAACACTATTCAGATTTCATTCTTTCCCTAGCCTTGCTGTCTATTAACAATATTATGTTATAATAATCATTACTCCTTTCCTTGTAAATATGTTATCACGAGATTTTTATTTTCACTTTTGAGGGTTTTTGTTATCCTGTTTTACAGAGAACAGTACGACTCTGTGAACAGCTCTCCACAGTTATACCAAACTCACATGTTTATTACAGAAGAGGACTGGCTCTGAAAAAAATTATTCCACAGTGCATCTCAAGGGATTTCACGGATCTGATCGTTATTAATGAAGATCGTAAAACACCAAGTATCCTTTGTTTTTTAAAGGACTCCTATTTTGCATGGTTTAAGAGATAAGCAATAATATAAGCCTTTTTGTACAATGCAGGTATACTTAGGAACTGATGTTTGGATTTTGTAGTTTGCTTTCTACACAAACCACAATTTAGTGGGAATGTTCTAGAAAGGATTCAAGTGTTGATTTAGGTTGTAAGAAATGACCTTTACCTATCTTAACCTCCTTAAGATTTTATGATTTTTCTCAATGTGTAAATGTTGCAGAAATACATTTGGCTGTGCCTCATGAGGTTGAACTTGTGGTGAATCTTTGGGAAAAAAGGAAAGAATTAAAAATGTTTAGTATCTGTCAGAAACAGATCTATCTTCTAAGAGCTAAGATTAATTAGAAAGAATTTACATGACTATAACTCAAATAAGTGACAAGTGCTATAGTAAGAACTGAGATTTAGAACTTAATATTGACTGTAAAAAGTGGTGACATTTGAAGTGAGCCTTAATGGATGAGTAAAATATTGCAGGTATTTGAAATAGCATGGGCAAAAAATACATGATAGGATTAATGTGGGTGGTGTATGAGAGATTGTGTCAGTGCCTAACAGTTAGGAAACGGCATGGGGAGACATTAGGGGATACCGGTTAGAAATAGCAGTTTGGAGCCACATGAGTGCCATACTCATGTCTTTATTCTGTAGATGAGTTGGCAGTTGAGAGTGGCTTGAAATTAACTACAGCTGTTAAGACTCAGGATATCTAGTTTTTCACTTAGCACATGAAAAACTGGTACAGATACAATGACACAGCCAAGTCCCATAGCTTATTACTCATAGAACCAAGGCCTGAATCCAGACTTGATTTAGTCTGTATTAGATGTACCTGAAATGGTGAAGAGGTCCAAACAACCATGATACTGTTTCAATAATCTCGATGGAAAAATCTGAAAGACCTCAACTAAGACAATAACAGTAAGGGAGAGATGTAGAAGTGAGGAACTTATGAAAAACAATAGGATTCGGTGGGAGAGGAGGAAATTGAAGATAACCATAGCTTCTACTCTGCATGGGAGTGTGTTGATCCCATTGTTAAAGATGGCGGGATGTTTTGTAAAACTCTTAGTGTGTGCAGATTCTGGTCTCCTTTTAAGGTTCAGTATTTGAAAGAATCAAGTTGAACAGAGATTTAAGGAATGTTGTATACGTAGTAGATCTTAAGTTTGCTGCATCCAGGATTTTTAAAGCCCTGGGCTGCTGCTAACCCTGCTGAGTAGGTAGGTGTCTTATATTTTAATCGTAGTTTAGACTGTCTGGCACTATTTTCTGTTTATGGTAGACAATCAGTAAATGGTTATTAGTTGATTTTATTTTGTGGTACAGTGGTCCCAAGAGGAAGAGCTTATCTCTTGAGAAACACTAATAACTGATTTTAAGAGAGTTTAGGAATCTCTGTGGGATGATATTCAAAGTTGACAGAATATCCTAACCTTACAAACACATATACAAACATTTGAAAGGGTGCATTTTCAGTGTTATAAGGTCTCTAACATGGAGGTAAACTTGTATTGTTTACAATGCTAGTTATTCTAGAAACCCGTTCTGTCTTACCATTCCTGCTACAGTCGACATTAGTTCACTTTAGTAGAATGCTCAAATACCCTATTAAGAGTGAAAATGAGCTATTTATATTGTGGAGAGAAAAGGAACAATAAGTTAATCTGTTTTTCTGAAAGATTTGGGTTGCCTTTTTTGTCTTGAGTTTGGCATATCTTAAAAAATTTCCATTAACCTAGAGGAATACATGCACCCACCTATTTGCCTAGCTACAGATTTTAGGAGCCTGTAGGCATACAGAGGACCAATTATTTAAACAATTTAAGGTACAGATTACAGAGTTCAGTATGTTCTTAGCTTTATGAACAGATGGATTAATATTGAGTCACTTGCCAAGTGGCCCAACAGCTCATTTTAAAATGAGCAGTGTTCGTCTTCGTAAAGAAATTAAGGTAAGTTTTATGCATTCCTTGATTGGCTTTGGTCTCATAGTATTTGCTTAAGTAGATGCTGTAACTGATTGGATTTAATAATGGCATTAGCTATCCTGATTAAAGCAATAGTTTTATCTACTGACAGTTTTCTAAAACTGTCATAATTGAATTACGATGGACAGGCAGTAACAGCCTTCATTACTATGAAACGTTACTTTCCTAGTAAGACTTTTTTGGTGCATCCACGGCATATTAAAATACCTTTAAATACATCTTATTTTATGGATTTGACAAGCCATCTGTTGTCATTAACTTTCAATTTTTCAAATTTGTCATATAAATTATAAAACTTAAAATTGCAATGAGTTAATAGTTTTGCCAATTAACTTAATTCATTATTGTGATTATCATTTTTGTAGAGAAGAGGCAAAGACCCTACAGAACACATACCTGAAATAATTCTGAATAATTTTACAACACGGCTGGGTCATTCTATTGGACGGATGTTTGCATCTCTCTTTCCCCATAATCCTCAGTTTATTGGAAGGCAGGTTGCCACATTTCACAATCAACGGGATTATATCTTCTTCAGATTTCACAGGTGAGGAAATACTTTTATTCCTTGGACTTTGACTTCAATCATGAAATACATTTTTAACATAACCTGTTTTCTAATGTATTGTGACAAGTATTATAGATGAGAAATTATCTTTTGAACTGTCATAATGTTAAATAACAGTTGGGTTTATGCAGACTAATTTCCATAACTTTTGTTATCTTTGAAGATACATATTCAAGAATGAAAAGAAAGTGGGAATTCAGGAACTTGGACCACGTTTTACCTTAAAATTAAGGTCTCTTCAGAAAGGAACCTTTGATTCTAAATATGGAGAATATGAATGGGTCCATAAGGTATGTGCTGACTCTGAGAAGTCATTCAGTGATTTTAAAAGTAAGTAAAGAGAAGGAAACCTGTATTTTAAGATTTGAGTGTTTATATCTTAAGTTAGGCTTCTGAATTTCTTCCCCCATGAACTAGACAGAATCATTCGCTGATGTGGTGTTTGGTCTGGTGATTAATCCTGGTTCGTTTGAACTATGCTAAAGATCAGTGGTTATCAAAGTGGGACCAGTAGCATCACCTAGGACTTGTTAAAATGGAAAATTGCTGGGACACATACCTACTGAATCTGCAACTTAAGGGAGTGGGACCCAGCAATCTGTTTATGAGCCTGTTACCCTGATTCTGGTGCATGCTGGAAAACTATTACTATGAAACTTTTGTACAAGTTGGGAGATGATCATCTTAAGTCATAAATGAGAACTTCAATATTTTAAAATATATTCTTTTCTACCTAGTACAGTTATTCACTTTAAGTGTGCTTTTTACTTTAAAATTATATATGTTACACACATACATATATTTGATTCGTAACTTCTAATACCTTTTACATTTGACCTAAAGATGGACTATTCAGTCTTCAGACAAACCCAGTCTTTTGCATTGTTACCCAGATTGTTTACTAACTTTTTTTTCCCCTTTCAGCCCCGGGAAATGGATACAAGTAGAAGAAAATTCCATTTATAAAGAAAAACTAAAGGAATAGTACTGGATTTTACTGAACAGGTTTATCTTGAATTTGTGATAGAAGACCCTTTTCAAAATATCATTTACTGATTTCATAAATCTTTCATGTCTGGACAGATTACCAAATGCCATGAATTGCCACTCACTATTTCTAGGAAATACAAATAAAAGTCATTTTGGTAAGAGTTTAGAAGTTGCAATTTCAGTTTCCTAAAATTTAGTTCTTTTATTTTGGGTAATTGTGAATAATTTAAGTTGGAATCAAGATTCAAACTAACAATCCTATTTGCACCTTCATGGAACACGTGGGCTAGAGAAAAATACTTTGTATTTTTCTAGAGAAAAAGTGCTTGGTAGATTACGGTGGAACCAACCCACTGGTTTTCTACCATATTAATCTTGGCACATAGTTTTTAACTCCATTTCCTGAATGATTGGAGGACAGGTTTCTGGGATGTTTTAACATTCCCTTAAGCCTTTCAGAAGGGTAAAGATTTTAAAGTAAAATAGTTTCCCAAGAACTTAAACCAAAGTTGCAAATTACTGAAGTTTATCTTTGGTTCCTTTTTTCTGGCTACTTTGTACCTCATTACATTGTATTATATATTCCATTCAAGAATTGTCTCAAGTCTTCTAATGGAATTCTTACATCTACTCTTTTTCTCTACTATATTTATTAAAAGAGCCATCGGTTATGAAGTAACTTTTAAGTGTAATGATAAAACCCCTACAAAGGAGTTTATCAGAAATACTTATTAAAACAAAGTTAACCCTGTAAATAACTCATAAATAGAAACTAGTATTACTAGCAGCCTCCTCCTGACCCTTAAAAGAATGAAAGTTGGCAACTTACATTTATTTCTCTAGCAGTTTTGCAAGTGTTTGGCATAAAGTGTGTGGAAAGAATTGGTAGAATAAACACTTAAAACTTAACCCATAGGACAAAGGGAAAATTGCCGTTTATCTTAGGTGTTCAAAACAAATAGTGTATTTAATACCAGTAATTAAGGAGAAAAAAAAACCACTTAATACTAAGTATTTTATTGTATGCTGCTACCAGTGTATATAAAATAATTTCCCTTATGAAATAGAAATTCATGAAAATTCAGAGAGGTAGATGTTAAGGACTGACAAAAGCAGAAGTATGTATATAGTATGGCACATGTTATAGAGATACGCTTTTTGTACAGGCATCCGATTTAGTTCTCCTTTGAATATTCACTGGTTCATGAAAAGCGGTTTAGAAACCTGAAATGGAAAAATATAGGGAATTAGGGTAGTGTCAAAGAACAATAGTTTCTTTCTAAATAGCAGTACAGCCTGGACTACTTTTAGGGCATTTGAATGAATGTCAGTTTATAAAGTACTTTCAATTAAGCTAAATCTATTTAAAAAGGACATCACAGGGTTTCTAGGAAAAAATGAGAGAGAATAGGAAATGACTATGGTATAAAATGTAACTTTAATTTTCACAAGCATTCTGAAGTATATAAATTATGGTTTATAAATAAATAGATTTAAAGATTAACTTGCCAATACCATTGTCAAAATACACTCTGTATCTTAATTTCTTCAAGTTGAGAAAAATCTGAACACCCCTAGAAAATGAACAGGAGTATTGCAGAGAATAGTTTAGCAATATCTACTAATGTAGAAGATACAAACCTATACAAACACTACTATTTACTTATATAAACCTATACACAAAAGGAAATGTGTATAGGACATTAACTATTGCAGTGTTTTAACAGCAAAGAACTGGAAATAGCCTAACAATTCAACAGGGGAATGGGTAAGTAAGGTTTATTATACATGATGGAATACTATGCAGCTATTAAAATGATTAAATAAATCTACATGAATCAACATAAATCTCAAAAATAATGGATTATGGGGCCGGCCGAGTGGCGCAATGATTAGGATCTGGCTTGGGACGCCAGAGGGCCCCGGTTCAGATCCCACATATGAGGGCCAGTGACGCTGCCCTCCGCAGCTGGGATGCTGAACGGCGGCTCGACCTGCACAGCTGGGCTGCCGTGGGTCACCGGCGACGGCGTGGGCTGCAGCCCCTGTGGCAGTGGGTTGCCATCGGCTACCGTGTGTAGCCAGCAGCCAGCGTGAGCGGCCAGCAGCCGCCGTGAGCAGCCGTCCAGAAGCCAGCGACTGGTGTGCCTCGCCTGGGAAGAGCGCAGTAATGGTGCCAACTTGGGTGGGCCAGTGGGGCAGCGTCCTCCACAACTAGACTGAAGAGCAAGATGACAGCAACTTGTCTGTTCCCCTTCCCCAAATTCCCCAGCACTGTTCCCATCCCCCCAGTTCCCCAATAAAAATTTTAAAAATCTTAAAAATAAAATGGGTTATGCCTTAAAAAAATAACAGCTATGTTTTAAAACTACAAAAAATATATGTTGTAAAAAGTAAAAACGAGCATACCGACTTCAGAATAAGTTACCTATGTGGAAAGGTAGAAAAAATACAGATTTTATTTTTAAAAATTAACAAGCTATACCATTTAATTCAGGATGATAGATACACGGTTCATCTTTATACTTATTTGAAAATTAACAAAAATGTTCAAGAGGCATAAACAATGGTGGAAAAAAATGTTTAACCTCACATTTGAATCAGTGCAAATTACAAAAAACAAGACAGGTAGAAAATGGCAAATACGCTGAGGTCTGTTTGGCCAGGGCTCAGCAAAAAGCACTCTCAAGCTTCAGGTAGAATAGCTAAGTTGAAAGTAAGACTAATGTTATGAAATTTTAAATGTCATTCTTGAATAATTTTACTTCTAGAAATGTATCTTAAAGAAATAGAGACGTAAAGTATACATACAGATACCAAGATATTCACTTCAGTGTAGCCTCAAATTTGGAGACTTCATATTCAATAAAATATAAGTTACAGTACAATCAGTGAACATCTCATTTACAAATAATGTTAACCCTACCAGACCACTACCGATTTTTCGGTAATTTCCGAATCTGCCGCTATACCGCTGTACCTAATTTTCGGTACTTTGCCTAGTACGTGAAAAAAATGCGTCACAAACTAAAAATAACCAACCAATCATGGTCAAACCTCATGGTTAGCCATTGCAAATGTCTGCCCCCATGTGTTTGAATTGACTTTGTGTGGTTTGACGTGAAAAAATTCTGAAAATTCACAATGAAACGAGCGGCTGATGAACCAAGCACTTCAACAGGAAAGTGAAGTAGGTCTTGGCTTATCACAGTCCAACAGGTGATTGATACTTTGGTTGATTCAGACTGAGGAGTCAGAATTTCATCAAGAATGTTTCCAGTTCAAGTGACACAGACAGTGAGAGCTCGAGTGATGAGAATCTTGAACCTTATAGATCTAGAGCTAGATCGATAGTAAGAGAAGGGGGGTGTGTCCCTCAAACAGCTGATGGGGGAGATCTAGGTGGTGATGAAGGTTGGACAAGGAATTTTGTATCACCAAATACAGATCTGAATTTCAATGAGGATGGAAAAGGCCCAGTGAACATTCCTGGATCTATCACAGAGGAGAGTGAACCGACTGACTTTATCCTTGTTTTTGGATGTACTTTCTAGCAAAATTTGACAGAGAAAACCAACCTCCGGGCCCATCAATTGCATATAGCAAAGCCCAACTCCTACAATGCCAAAAATTTCAAACATGCCACAGTGGAAGAAATGAAGGCTTTTCTTGGACTGAAGATCTATATGGAATACTTATGTATAAAGCCCAGCTATCAGGATTATTTGACAAATGAGGGCTCTGACTTTGTTGGGTTGACTCCCGGATTTCGAAATGTTATGACTCGAGACACATTCTTGGCCCTTTGGAATTTTTTACACATAATTGATGAGGAAGACACAGATATCGATAAGACAGATAGAATATATAAAGTTAGGCCTTTCTTGGAAAGTCTGCTCCCCAAGTTTCTCCACTTCTATCTGCCAAAGCAACATTTGAGCCTAGATGAAGGGATGATTTCGACAAAAAACCGCTTGGCCCTCAAGCAGTATATCAAGGATAAGCCCACAAAGTGGGCATCAAGTCTTTCCTTCTCTGTGAAGGTGAGACTGGCTACATTTTGAATGTAGAAATCTACACTAGTGCTGCACCAATGCCTATAAAAGACTTGGGCGCAGCAGGAAATACAGTTGTTCGTCTGCTGACCTCGTGTGCAATGGAAAAGAAATCTCATGTGCTTGTCATGTACAGGTTCTACAACTCTGTAACCCTTGCTAAATATGCACTGTCAGAATTACACACAGGAATTGTGGGAACCCTGCAGCAAAACAAGAAGCAGTTTCCTAAGTCACTGAAAAGTGTAAAAAAACTTGCTAGGGGTGACAGTCGCTATCTATGTCAAGAAAGTGTAACATGTTTAGTTTGGCAGGATAGAAAGCCCATCACATCTATTTCGAACTACCACAATCCAGCCCAAAATGTAGTGATAAACAGAAGAAATAAAGATGGCAGTGTGCAAGAAATACAGATGCCACAGCTGGTAAAGGACTATAATAAATATATGGATGGCTGTGACAAAAATGACCAGATGACCCGCCTTCACCGGTCTCGTCATTACCGCTGGCCCCGGCAGCTTTTCATAAAATTTTTTATGTGGGCCAGTTTTAATTCTTATATCTTGTATGCTTGAAAGCAGCAAGCTGCTTCAAAAAAGCCAGTTTATTTCACCAGATATATTCAGAAACTGTGCCTGCAACTTATTGGTGGATACAGGATATCAGCCCACGGCCACCCACAAAAGGAACCCTGCCCTCAATGGATGACCCCAGGCAGTCATTTTCCAGAGATTCCCCCTGGGACATCGTCTAATCATATCTGTGTTGTGTGCATGGAAAAGCACTCCAGGTACAACAAGCAAAATCCTGGAGTGCCTTACAAAGACAATCCATGCAAGAAAGTGAAGAGCAACATCTGGTGCTCACTTTGCAAGAAGTACCTCTGTGTGAAACAAGGCTCATCCTAATGGGTGGATTGGCACACAAAGGTGGAATATTGGCGCTAGATGAAAGGTAAACCTATTTTCTATAATGTCTCCAAGTTCCATCTTATTCTAACCACTTGTTTGCATGTAACTAACACTTTTCTGTATCATGTTGGTTTTTTCTCTTTAATGCTCAGGAGCCCAGGTATAGGGGACAGTTAGGTTCAGGGCCTCAGGTCTGGTAGGGTTAAATGAAATAAGAAAATTCATTGTTCTTAAATAGCAAAATGAAAAATGACATACTATGATCCTCATTTTTAAAAAACTAATTTTTTTCTCTTAAAAGGAAATATCTGCCAACAATGGTTGTTTCTAGATATGCTGATCGTGGTAATTTCTATTTTCCTTGTACTAGCTGTTGCTAAATTACCTATGCTTCTTATAAAATTATAAATAAACCATATGTTTTTTAAAGCTATGAGTTTAAAAACTCAAATGTAGGTTCTCTGCATCCATGCCACTCATTGTAGGCCTTAGGGCCACCAGCATCTGTATGACCTGGGAGCTTAAAAGAAATGCAGATTGTAGGGCCTTATTACAGGCCTTCTAAAAATTAGATTTTTAACAAAGTGATTTGTAGATACAGTGAAATTTGAGAAGAAAGGCTTTTACCTCAAAATGTTTTCCTAGCTCCAAAATGTTTCAAATCTTAATATCCACAAAGCTGTTTTATTATACTGCCAGGATTAATAGCCATTATTTTACTTTGAAATCTGGGTTGTTATTCCAGTCATATTTATTACGCTGAGCAAGTCATTTAAACACTTATCTGTAGACTCCTATGAAATGTACACTATTAACAGCCAGTTAAGAAGCCAGCATCTTATCAGTATTTTATATAAAATGAAAAACTATTTTGTAAAGCGAATACAACTGGAACAGAGGTTTAAAAAATATCTTTAATACGCTATAAAAATATGAAATTGCCAAAAGCTAGCATGAAGAATATTTTCAGAAGCAAAGAACTATTAAATATGAAAGAGCTAGACTATTAAAAAAGAATTACTTCTTTACGGAAAACCTGTTACTTAAAGGGTTTTTCCCCCTGGTGTTTCAAAACTCTTAACCAATCATTGTATTTACTGGAAACATCTGTACTTATACAGATTTCCTGGACACTCCCAAGTCTACAAAGCTTAATTAGGGAGGGCACAACTATGTAACATGGTATTTTAGGAAGCAGCTTCCTGGACTTTGAAGAGTTAGAATGTTTGTAAAGGGTGTGTGCCATACAGAGGGCTTGTTTGTTTTGTTGTGTGTTTTTTTTAAGCACTGTTACTTGAAGGTTGGTTCTCAGGTCAACAGTAGTGAGTTTGCATTCTGATTATAGTACTATGGATTTTTAAAAGGTAGCACCCTTGGGTTGCATTTTCAATTATTTCCACTGCATGTTCTTGGTCACATCTCTTTTGGACTAATATGTTTTTGCATACATTGACATTTGATTTGGAAGGTGCATATTAAAATACAGAAGTCAGTTGATTCAACTATCTCATTTTCTCTTACATTCACAACTCCTAATTCTTTTGCTATGCTGCCCTGTATCTGGGTTCTATTAGAACAATATCAGAATTAATCCAAATCAATTGGTAGTACTTTAAAGGCCATCTCCATAAACATTGCAGATTTAAAAAAACTCTAAATATGTGCTGGTACTCAATTATCAAACTAGTATTTAGGGATCCTAAAATAACACCATTAGGCCAATGCTATAAAAAATAACATGGCTTGTCACAGCAGTGGAATTTTCCAGTAATCCTCCTATATCCTCTTTATGGTTATTAAATCCTCTACTTAAACCTCTTTATGGTAAAATAGAAGCAATCAGCCTTCATAACTACCAAATCAGTATTTCCTCACAAAACAAAAAAACTTTCCTCACAAAACAAAAAGTCGGGAAACAAAGTGCCAAAACAAAGTTCATGGGATGATCTTGGTCAACTTGTAAGTGCTACAAAGAAAAAGACCAGAGTTATTTCTGCTATGTGGAGTTTGTTGTTTTAATCTGAAGAAACTTACCTCCAAAGATTAGTTTCACTACAAAAAGGAGCAGACTTTCTGGGGTCTGAAGGGATTTGTACTTGAAAATACTCCAGTCAGCAGGGGGTCATGTTGAGCATTCTGCAGACAGAATTGTTTCAAATCTGCAGCTGCCTGGGAAACCTATAATAACAAAGGGGAGGGGAAGAAGGGAGGTGGTGAGAATATTTTAAGGAAAGTTTTCTCAAATCTTTCAAAATACCTGCAATGAACACTTCTAACTCAAAGGACGATACATACTAATTGAAGGTCAACAGTCATATAACAGCTCTTTTACTTAAAACTACATGTAAGTAAGACCAGTTTTCTTACTAAAAGCCTCACACAATTTGGTGCAAACAGTACAATTCCGTTTATCTGTAAAGTACAGCACATCTTGCTAGTTTATTAATAGTTTGTTCAAGTGCAACCTTGAGGGTAGGCAACATCTTGTTTACTAAAAGTAAACAGGATATTAGAGGTTAAGCAAAAAGTGTTAAAATTTTAGTAAACTATTACTTTGTCCTGAAAGCAGTACTATTTGAAAAACACTACTGTTAATTAACATAATGTTCTAAATCTGAACCATTCAGGTCACTGTTTTGGTATGTACCATCAGCTGTTTAATGTTACAAAGCTGGACAGTAACTGCTTTCTGCTAAGTGTCATGTGACTGAAAGGCTGACAGCAAACTTCAGTTAATTTTAACAACTTCACTGAGCAGCCTTTAAGGAACTGTATTATTTGCCTTAAATGTGATTTAATAATTTTCATTTGTGTATGCAATGCCACTCAAACAGGATATAAGGAATTTATATGGCTTTATAGTTATTTCATTTACATACTGTATCACTTAAACATCTATGTGTATATCTTCTGGTAAGCTGATGCAGGATACAACAATGAACTGAATGGTTCAGATGTAGAACATGAGTGGTTAAAAGATACCCCAAATGAATAAAATATCCTAAGTCTTGAATTGAGGTTTAGGAACATGGGAAAAATAATTTATTCTCAGTTTTAACTATCACCAAGGAGGGTGAAAGCAGTTGTCCAGTCCAACTGGGTATCTGTCCTTTGAAAGGGAGGTAAGAGCATCACAAACTCTTTCTATAGCAAAAAACCCTGCAGATTTACAGCTGTATCCCAGACATTAACCTGTTAAAAGGATCCATTATCCTGAGATGAATCTAAATTCTGCTCTCAGAGTCTCTTATTTTCCAACAGTCCAGGGTAATGATTCCCATAGGTTTATTTAGCAACTGTGTAAAGAAGTTGTTTGAACATACCTAGTACCAAGTACTGTGACAAATGGCCATTCTGCTCCCCCAAAAAGAAGGTATAGAGCTCAAGTAGGGGAATGGGTGGTATCATTTTTCACAATTTGTAACTTGATTTCATGCACATTAACCAGCAATAAGAATACAGTAAAGTACCTGTTAATTTTCTGTCTAAAGTGTAGGTAAGCTGCAATTGAACTCCCTTTCACAAACTTCTCAAGCACAACTATGTGCCAAATATACTTCTAGGCACTCAGAATACTTAAGAGCAGCCAGGTCCCTGCTTTTATGGAGCTGACAGCTCAGAGAACAAGACAGACAAGGCGCTCTGCAGAAAAAAACTGGTTTGTTAGATCTGACCTACAGGAAGGTGTCTCTGAGGAGATGACATTTAAAGAGATCTCAATGACACGAAATCCAGCCAAGTAACCATCAGTGAGAATTCCAAGCAGTGGGGCAAAACACTGAGACAAAGGCTCTAAAACTAAAGCTGCTAGCCTCTAATGTAATAATCACCAGCCAGGAGTTTGAAATCCTATAATCCTGGCATAATTATTAGTGTCCTCTTTCATTCTCAAAAGTGTCCTGGGTTGGCAATAAAGTTTATGTCGCCATACATATGGGAGAATTGGTCAAGCATTTATGATAATGTCTATCAATAAATACTCAAGCTTGGTTTAAACAGTAAATTTGTACAAGATTAAAATAAAATATCACCCGCCAAAAGGCATCTAGCACAGTCATGGATAAAAAAAGATGCACAAAATGAAATCAAACTAACCACATTTTGCAACTCACCTAAAGAAAAGCTCATTTAAAGTCCCAAGGTCGGATGTGCCCCCCCCCCCCCCCCCCCCACACACACACACCCTGCCCCGCCTCCTACAGCCCTAGCATCAGACAAATTGACAACTAAATCCAAGTCATTTGTGGTGGCTTTTAATAATCCCAACCAGAAGCCTCCTAAAGTATTAAGTATAGGAGGGAGGCATGCTGGGGAGTTATTGGAGGAACTAAGGTTTTCATAATAAAGCCCTCAGAGTACTTCAGCCTGAGGACATCTCATTTTCTTTAGAGACTAGAGCTAAGTACCCCCTACTTAACACTTACTACTTTCAACCAGCATTTTTTTTCTTTCCTGGGCCACTACAATCCAGGATAAAGGCACACCTGAATGATAATGTAATGGTTGGTAAAGCAATATATGATTTCAAATTTCGGAGTTAAATCCAGTCAAGACTGACCATAAACCAGTGAGATGAGGTTCCAGATTCTAACAGCAATGGAGTCTGCAGCATTTAAAGGGCAGGAGAGAGGGGAAACCCACACCACGACTGATGGGAACTTCCCTTCCTTCCTGAAGTGAGCATAACTAAGTTAGGTCCCATTTCTATTTAAGGAAGTAGGTAAATGGGAGACCATCTCCACAAAACATCTCAGGGAGAACTCAAGACTAGCCTGATGAGTACTGAATCAAACCATCTTGAAAATTGGCTGCTTCTTTCAACAGAGTTACACGATTTATATTCTCTCCTGTTTCTTTTTTTAATCATAAGAAGTGTTTAACATGTAAACTGACCTGCGCCAGAAAGAAGTCAATTCACTTAACGATTTTTTTTTTTTAATCAAGAAACTTGGAATAGCACTTGAATGTCAGGTTGTCATATCAACACACACAAAAGGCTTTTTCCCCAAATAACCAAACATAAGGTCAAAGCTAACCAGACGCCAAAATAAATACGACTGGTCCACCCAATTCCCTTTCTCGGGTATGCGGACCAGTGATAGCCCCAAGGTCAGTTCACGGCAAACGGACGCACAGGTATGAAACGCACGCTTTATGCGAGGTTTGTACACCTACACACCGCGGACGCTTCAAACACATGCTTCTTTAACCTACAGTGTTAAGTGATGCAAGAATTCGCTCTCAAGTATGTGTTCGGTGGGTGAGAGGAGCTGGAAATAAGAACCTACTAAAAGGCGCGGGCCTGAAAAGTTCTGACACGAAAAGAAACAGTACATATGTCCTAAACCACAAGTCGGATAAAACCCTCTCCAGTGACGGGAAACGGTGGAGGCTGGCCGAAGGGTGCGGACCGCGCGCGGAGGAGCGGCTGGGGGCTAGGCCAGCGGCGAAGTGACTGCGAAGGGAGGGAGCGCGAGACAAGGGCCGGAATGCGGAAAGCCGCCGCGCAGTCCAGGGGCCAGCCCGCTTTGGGAAGTTCTGGGGCGGAAGGGCGCGCTCACCGGCCCCCCGAACCACAGCGCCGAGCCGCGCCACTGCGTCTCCAACGCTGGCTGCTCCCGGGTCGCGGCCGCCCAGCGCGCGTCCTCCCGAGGGGAAGCGAGTCCCGCCCGCCCCAGCCAGCTCGGCGGCTGGATACCTTCCCCTCCCCCTCGGCCGCCCGCCCCCGCTCACCTTCACGCGGTTGAGCCCGGCTTCCAGCCGGAGCTGTTGAACCACTTTCTTCATAGCGGTGACGCTAGAGGAACCAGACATGGCGCACGAGAGAGCCTGGCCGATTAGTCGGTTGTGGGTCGGTGGGTCGTGAGTCCGCGGGGCCAGACAGCGGGGCAGCGAGGCGAGGGGCGGGGCTCGGAACTTTGTCTCTAAGTTTCCGGTTCTTTGCCCAGTGGCTCCACCCTCGATGCGCATGCGTGCCCTCCTCAGCTGGCTGTTTCAGCTCCTCCCCGGGGCGGGAGCAGAGCCTGAGGGAAGTGGAGACGCGAGCAAGGAGGGGCGGGGCAAATGGTGGGCGGGGCAGCAGGACGCCCAGCCTCTCCTCTCTCCTTCTCCCGAGAAGCCGATTTGGGAGAAGTAAGGAAAGAGCTTGTCACTGGCCGCCAAGGCCCGAGAGGGACTCTCTAGGGGACCGGTGAGGGAAAGGCAGCCACTTGAGGGAGTCTATAAAAGACGGGGTGACACGGAGGATCCAGTTTTCCCGACAGGGCAGGCGGCAGAGGTTCAGGCGCGAATCAGTGGCACCCCATCTCATAGTGACTCGAGTCTGTCCAACGGGCGGCCCATCCGCAGCCCGCTTCCTCAGGGTCAGACCCCCAGGCCGAAGGAGGGCGCGGAGGTCGCTGTAACCGACCCAGGCCACGTGGACCAGGGGCGCTGGTTCGCTAGAGGAGAGAGGATCTTCTCAAGGTTTGGCTCCTGTCGCCCTTCCCTTCTGGTTTTCTGGAAGAGGTTATGAAGAAGCTAAGGTGCTGGCTGAAGATTACACCTGTCTCGTGTATCCATTTCATTTGGGAGATTAATGCTTCCTTTAGTTCAAAACATGAACCGTCTTTTTGTGTTTCGGGAAAGTTGGGTCTTTTGCATTTCAGTTGCAACTTAACGCGGCTTGAAATTGATGCTCGAAGGGCTGTTCTGCAGAGATAGTTGGATCTCACCAAGCAAAATAGGCTCAGCCAGTGCATGTTCCACCCACGGAAATGTTTGTTAGGTCACACAGCTTTTAGGACAGATGTTCCCTATTCTGTTGAGATAGTCCTTTAACGTATATATTTTCTATAAATATGAACAATTTCATCAATACATTTCAAGTTTTTGAACAGTGAAAAATTCCATGTATAATTTGCTCTATGTCAACAAAACCTTTTATAATTTATTTACTAAACAATTTAAATCATTTCACAGAAATGTACAGTGTACTTTAGTATTTTACTTAATTCATACAATGGATATAACTAGGATACACTAGGGCAGCGGTTCTCAGCCTTCCTAATGCTGTGACCCCTTAATACAGTTCCTCATGTTGTGGTGACCCCCAACTATAAAATTATTTTCATTGCTACTCTATAACTGTCGATATTGTATTGATCTGGGCAAGCCACTTAAAACTTTGCTCAGCCTCTGTTTCCTCATTTCAAAATAAAATACTAAAACGTAATTCCCCGAAGTGTTTTTGAGAATGAATGAAATTATATATGTAAAGAATATGACAAGTATCTCAACACATGTCACTTCTCCCTCCTCCCCAGCAGTATATTAAATTATTTCACCTTTGGTGACTTGTTGATTAATCTCATTCATTACAGATTTGGGAGATTAAACAAAAGTATCTTTACTCAAAGAATGTTTCATTTCAGTAGTTGTAGAACATGCCTCTAAACTCTAAGTGTAATGGTAGTACTAGAAGGAATTTCAGGAAATACATAGTTCAGTCTCCTCTTCTGTGAGGAAAAGTGTTGAGGAATAAGCAAAGCTCATTGTTATAGGTGTAAACATTATCAGAAAAAGCTTTGTGGTTGTTTTTTTTTTAATTGTTTCAGAGACCAACCACAGAGTTTGGATTGCTGTCTCAAATTAAGATGAAATGCTTAGTTTTTGTACTGCCCATCTAATAAAGGATTCCATTTAAGATAGGAAAGAAGAAAAAAAACATTGAGTTTATTTGAAATTCGGTTGCATCCGAAGTGATTAGCAGTAAATACAGTTTGTGAATTATCAATATATCCGAAACAAGCCATGTTCTCTGACTTTCCACAATGATTTAAAACAAAAACTTCACCAAATTTGCAGACATCGAAGTCGCATTTCAGATAGTTAAAGACAGGCCCTGTTGTAAAAACAATTTGACACAGAGTCATTATAAGAATGAATGACATGAAAACACAACCAAGAAATCCGTCATTGTTTTGTGAGCAGAGCATAGTGAATTTAAATTTACCTGGGATCTTCACCTTATTGGATTAGTACCCTAAGGTCTTTAGTTCACTAGGTTTATATTCAATATTTGAATACATAAAATAGTTTGTTTCAAGTGCCTTGCTTTGTAGTTTAACTAAAAGCTGAATATCTTTTTAAGGGGAGGCTCACAATTCTGACTTCTTTTTCAAAGAGTGATTTTATATTACTCTGTTTTTATAGTGATTAAGCAAATTGAGATTTGGAGAGTATAGATGACTTGCCCACCACTATACAGAAAAATTAACAACTAGTTAGTGGCTGCTAGTTTATGGCAGAGACAAGACTAGAACTTAGCTCTCCTGATTTTTATACCATTATATGTAGGTAATATATTTGTTTTCTGGAGCTGCTCATATATTTCAGTAATAATTAGTTTTCATAATTGAGTATAGAACTATAAGAACATTTGGTTATAAGAAACATCAGAAAGACAAGGTATCCAGTAAAAGTGTCATGACTTTACTGTAACTTTACTGCATTTAACTCAACATCTATGGATGTGTGGAGGTATCATTAAATACCCATTCATTTAAAATTTTACACTTTTTTCTATTACATTTTCTGTTACCTTATGTTACCCTTCATCTCAGTAGTTATAATCCTGGTCCAAAAAAATGACAGAAACAATTTTATTGCTGTGCTTTGTCCTCTTTTGGAAAGTTTCCCAGAAGTTACGTGTAGAACTGAAAGAGCAGTCTTTCTTTCATAACTGGACATGTACATAGTACAGAAACTATATTCTTTCATAGGGAAAGAAGGAGATGGGGGCATGTATTCTTTCTCCCTCTTCTTATAAACCCATACTATGCTTTCATTTTGTGTTACTAATATCATAATGACTGGTACTTAACAATCAGGAAGAACGAGACAAGGTTTTGTTTTCTATGTTCAACTCTAAATATATTTGAAGCTCAATCATTTCAATCGTGAACCCTTTTTCTGTTTTTGGAATATAAACTTCAAAGTCTCTGTAACCAGACATTCAAATACTATTTACCAAGAGAAATAGTGTTGTAATGTGCATCTTAAATCAAGTTTTATTCTGAACAAGAATGTATCTCTGTCTCTTTGAAAACTTAAGAAGTAATTTTTGAACAACATAAAATTGTTTAAAGTATTCTATTGTTGTTTTATGATTATGAAAGCTACACTTGCTTTAAAAAAAAAACCTTGAAGGTATATATGAATAAAAAACATATAATTCCTTTTCAAGCATACAGTCTAATTCTGTGTCATTCTGTTATTCTCTGGGAGACCATACCCCACCATAAAATGCCACCACATATCCTGAGAATATCCCAAACCAAGACAAATATGCCATTTCGTCTGCACTAGAACCTATATGGAAAACAAACTTCATTCTTCTACTGCCCTACAAATCTAAGGACTATGAAATGCTTAGGAGGTCTGGAGTGACTTAGGCATTTTATTCTATTTGTCTAGAACAAGTATTCCTTTAAATGGATTTATTTATTTACAGGTTAACCATGAACTAGATAGAACTCTCAAGACATATTATGCAAATTGAATTTATCCTGATCAGATAGACCTCATGCCTTGGTGACTTAAGAATCAGGAATTAGGTCAAGAATTTTATAGCTGTAAAGGTCCAAACCACTTCCTTTGCAGACTAAGAAACTGAAGCTTAGAGCGAATAAATGGTCTTAGAGGTTATACAGGACTAGAAACTTCTTTCTCTGAATCCCAATCCGTTTAATTGCTTAGTGTGAGATTCTACTACATTGGTATGTTTAAATATAGCCCATTTCAGGTTTCAATTTTTAGTATTTATTTAGGGTTTTTTAAAGCCATTGAGCATCTCTTTGTATGCCCTTTATCAAATAAAAATCACCAGAATCCTTAATTCTAGGCACTGAACAGAATATCAGAAATTCTTAAGCTTAATTTTCAACTCTGCTACTGACTCCCAAAATCATTTTGGAAAAGTGAAGAGAAAGCATGATAGCTAATTCTCTTTAAAGTAGAGAGTAGTTCAGAGAAGACAGGTAGGTGATATACGATGTCTGACAATTAAGTTTGCAAACTCATCCTAGAAAAAAGTGCTACATACCTCATTGCTGAATATTACTATGGTCACCTTCCCCTTGGGAAGCTATGCACTGACACCAGTTCCTAGTCCACCCTTCAAAGTAATTTTGGAACTCTTTTTCTGGAATGGCCACCAGAGCTGTCATCATATTACCCTTGATGTCCTGAATGTCATAAAAATGTCTTCCTTTCAATATTTCCTTTATGTTCGGGTAAAAAAAGAAGTCAGTGGGGGCCAGATCAGGTGAGTAGGGAGGGTGTTCCAATACAGTTGTTTGTTTACAGGCTAAAAACTCCCTCACAGACAATGCTATGTGAGCTGGTGCATTGTTGTGATGCAAGAGCCATGAATTGTTGGCGAAAAGGTCGTCTAACTTTTTCATGCAGCCTTTTCAGCACTTTCCAAATAGTAAACTTGGTTAACTGTTTGTCCAGTTGGTACAAATTCATAATGAATAATCCCTCTGATGTTAAAAAAGGTTACCAACATCATTGCAACAAGTTCACAAACTTCATTGTCAGACTGTGTGTGTGTGTGTGTGTGTGTGTGTGTGTGTGTGTGTGTGTGTTAGTATTTTACATAAAGTAGAAATATACTTTTGGAAGTGAGAAGACTAAATTTATACAAATGGCTATGGAATGATTAAAAACTGTTTTACTATATGCATTTCTTAAATAAATGTGAATGATCATTCCAGATGAAAATAAGTCTTTACATATATCAGGTTATATTTGTGTATTATTTCCTGTCATTTTCTTCAGAGCATTTATGGAAGTTTACAAGTATACACATGAAATTTAAGGTATATGTATAATAAAAATTGAAAAATAAGGTAGCTGAATTATTACTCTAAAAAGGATTATCAAAGTTGGACAATCCCTAAGGATACACTATCATACCAAGAGCAGAGCAGCTTTTTCAAGATTTCAAAGCATTGCTCCAACTTGATTTTTATTAAAATATTATTTAAATCCAACAAAACTTAAAAATCCTGTGATCTGATGCTGATTACAGCTCTGTGAAGTCCTACCAGAGATTACTAATTGTTCTAATGTATCAAAATTAAAAAATTATATCCTGGGATGTACAATCTTTTAAATCATATTAAATGCTTCCTATATAAATTTCTTACAACAATTAAAACTTAAAAGTGTGCTTTCTCATTTTAACCATCTCCAACACTATTTTAAATACATTAGTATACTAAGAAAACACTTAGATCTTTCCATTTCTATTTCTACCCAAGGCTCTTTCTGCATTGTACTAGTATCAATCTCAATTATAAACCTAAACGAAGCACAACTTAGATACAGCTGTGGTAACTTCCTTATTAGATAAGAATTAGTGGTAATTATCTATAATACAGTACATTAACTGGTATGCAAATTGGTATGTTAGAATTTTTAATTGCTGTGAAAGCATTAAAATTTGATATTTTAGTTGAGAACAAATTTTTAATTAAGCAAACTCAAGACAGATCAATCAAGACCTGTTTTACTATTGTCCTGTGGTAAACTGCCCCACTATATTATCCCTTCTAAATGAACAGCAAAGAAGCCTTTTTGAACTATAACTCCCTTTATCATTTCTGACTGGATCAAGACTGAAGATGAAATACTGGCTGGCCAGAGACAAATAAATAGCCTGGCATGATAAGATGAGCCCTTAGGAATTAGAATTGGGAAAAGCACTCAAGAGTCAAGTATGTAATTAGCAGATATTGAAGCAAAAAGAATGCAGAAAGGGAAGTCATGAAGTATTATCAAAGCAATGAGGCAAGGCCATGTTATGAGAAAGCAATAATTATTTGTAAACAAAGATAGAAAAGAAGATAAAGAATAGAGAGACTGACTAACCGGCAGTGAAAAGGAAACTGTGGAGATAATAAGTGATTCATGTTCATAGCTAAGCACTAGAGAGGAGTCAAAATATTTCCCTGTTGAAATCCCTAGCCTTGCATCCACTCCAAGTCTGGCCTATCAGTACAACAGTTCTTGTTTTGTGGATTTCAGTGGGATAACTGTCTCCACTACTGCTCTATGTTGATCTTTACAGTGATCTCTTCATTGTTTGAGGAAACTTGAGTAAATCTTTGCTATGGAAACCAAAAGAGGTTTCATTTAATCTGTTTAGGCATGTTAGAATTTGTAGTTTATCCTAACCAAATCACATTTATGTACTAACTGCTAACATATAATCTTTGGTATTTTCAAATTCCTTACGTATTATTAATTACCTGGTGAACAAAGTAATGGCAGTGTAAACAAAAGAAGATTGATAGCTTCATAGCCAAAGGTAAAGGAATTATAGAATTCTAGTCTAATCTCTCATTTACTGCATAATTTTGCTTTAAGGCCACATCAGACCTCAATAGGAGAGTTCAGAAATATTAGATTATCAAGTCCACCATGGGTTTGGGAGTAGTAAGTTGTTGGTAGATACGAGGTCTAACAATTAAGTTCGCAAACTTGTTGCAATGATGTTGCTAACCTTTTTTTGATATCAGAGGGATTATTCATTATGAATTTGTACCAACTGGATAATCGGTTAATGAAGTTTACTATTTGTAAGTGCTGAAAAGATGGTGTGAAAAAGTTAGGCGGAAACGACCTGAACTTTTTGCCAACAATTAATGGCTCTTGCATCACCACAATGCACCAGCTCACAGGGCACTGTTTGTGAGGGAGTTTTTAGCCAGTAAACATAACTGTATTAGAACACCCTCCCTACTCACCTGATCTGGCCCCCAATGACCTTTTTCTTTACCCGAACATAAAGGAAATATTAAAAGGAAGACATTTTGATGACATTCAGGACATCAAGGGTAATATGATGACAGGTCTGATGACCATTCCAAAAAAAGAGTTCCAAAATTGCTTTGAAGGGTAGACTAGGTGCGCCGGTGTCAGTACATAGCTTCTCAAAGGGAGTACCTTGAAGGTGACCATAGTGATATTCAGCAACGAGGTACGTAGCACTTTTTCTAGAATGAGTTCATGAGCTTAATTGTCCCACCTCATATTTTATCTGAATTTATGACCAAGAGAAAACAAAGTGCTTAAAATATGCCCTGGTCGCAAGTCTATTATAATTTACCACTTAGTTGTACAGGATGTATATTCATTTCATTGCAATTACCAGCCCTATTTACTAGTAATATGTCTATTTGAATTATTATAATAAGGTTGTATATATTCCTAAATTGTTCATTTTGATCTTATAAAGCCTTTTGCATGTGTGGTTTTTTTCCTCTACTTTTTTAATGCATCAGGGACTAGAAATGAGTGGAATGCTATCGTAAACAAGTAAAAAATCTGTTATAACCTTTGTACTACTTAAATGAAGAAAAATTAAAAAAAAAAACCCATGTAATTTCCAACTGATAATTATCCCATTCAAACATTGGTGAATATGTCCCTCAATCCAAGTCGACCTTCTTCATCAGAGGTAAGAAAGTATTTTCATACTAAAATATAAGAAAAACCTGCTTATTGTTTCTGAAAGTTTTTGATAAAGCAAAAATATGGGTTAAAGTATTAGATATTAACATCACTTTGAACCCAACTTCGTGTATTCCATTGTCTGATTATTGTTTTTGTATCTCTAGCTCACTTCCTCTAAGTACCCGGATTGAACTGGGACCTTTAATGCGTTGATCCTACCCCCTTTTTTTTCATTCCTAACTTTGTGATGCTCTCCATAGTTGACTTACATACCATAGGGCAGTCTTTATTATTCTCTCGCACAAGCTTTCAACTCTTTGCTCCTCTCTCAATTCATTGTACTCCTTGGCAAAAGAAAAACCCTGGTGAATCCAATTCTTCACCTATTTTACACTTATGCCTACAGCAGAATACGGCTGGAAAAAAATATATCAGCATAAGGACTACTGTCACATTAAATTCATGACCATGAATCTCAAGTGGAGCCTCCTGCTGGGATGCGGTCAGACTATCTTCTACGCATTCATTCCATTTTCCACAATTCTAAGCAACTATTTTGTATCTTCTCCTCATTTTCTATTTAAACCAACTTCAACCAAGCTTCCCCCCCACAATTCCTGTATGGTTTTACAAATATTTAATAGTGTACCTATTAAATATATGGTATTAATAGTATAATGTATAACATTAGCTATTAATAATATAGTATAGCCAGGAAATAATCTTTTAAATGCCCTGGTGTTCAAAATACCTTCTAGCATATGGCATGCTTCACTATCAGAGCTATACAAACATCTTAAATTATTACTGTCATCAAAAGTGTAGAAGTAATTTACTTTGTCTTTGAAAACAACTTGAGCAAAACATTCAGTTCAAGAGCCAATTTTATCTCCCATAAAAATTACTAATATTGTAGGTCATATTTACTTCAATGTTTTAAAGTTGTTTCAGATATTTAATATTGTAGAGTATAATTATTTAAATGCTTTGACTTGTAATATGCAGTGAATATCAAATTTATTAGATTAAAGGTAAAATTGTATTTCTGTAATTGTTCTGTTTCTGTTGTAGTAATCTAAGTGTTCTTGTAAATAGAAGAATTCTAACTGAGGTCCTAACAAAATATTAATAGAAAAGATGGTATATATAAGCACAGACAAAATAAACTTACAGACGTGCCCTGTTTAAGAACAACCAATTTGTTTCTTCATCACTGTTCAGGAACAGGTTCTTCCTAAAGTTCTTAGAAACAAAAATCTTCCCCAAACCACAGTATGCACACCTTTGCAGGTGCTGAGAACTAGCAATCATCACAACTATGTTAGGGAGACAATGCATAAAGGATAAGGAATCCACAAGGTCACCCCAATGGAATTGAGTAGGTAGAGACTGGGGGAGGGGAAAGTTGGTAATAAGAAAGCTGATCTTGGTGTTCTACAATGGTATTCTTACTGCAAGCCACAGAAAGAACACTGTATGTCAGAGATGTTAAGGTAACCTGGGACCACCTCTATGACCTGGTGTCTAAGGGAAACTGTGCTCCAAGGGCCAAGTAGCCAACTTAACAAATTTTTGGCTCTTCATTTTGTTTTTCATGTTTTGCTGAAGAGAATGCATGCATTCCATGTTTACTTCAGTTATGTTTATTAAACTTAAAATTTCAGAGAACATCAATTGAATTTTTTTCACTTTAAAAATATTTTAACTGATGTTCTTCTCAATTTATTCAGTTGGTGGAACTTCATGTTTTTTATGTCCCTGAAGGATCGTGGAACTATAAGTTAAATACCATTTCAATAGAAGTTGCTAACAAATTCATTTCAGCTGGATTTATAAGGCAAGTATTTTTGTAGTCATGTTACAGCATGTCTGAAAAACCAAGCTTTTTTCTGCAGAGAAAAATGCTTTCTGGAAATTTAAAAATTATAAGTGAAAAATATCCTGTCTATGTGATGGATCCAATTTGTAGTAGCTTAATGAATACTATCAATAAATAGTGCTATATAACGGTTAAATCAAAAAGTGCTGTAGGAACAGACATCACTTAGCTGTAGTACTGCCACCCAAAACACAGGGTATAATCTATACATTACTATGGTTATACACAAAGAGAATTAAGAGAGAAAGTATCTGAAATTAGAAACCTATTGAAGAGCTGTGAATAGCGGTTAAACCAGTATACCCATAATGACTTTTTCACTGAACTGTTTAAAAATAGAAACACAGAATATATGTATATGTACACTTATATGTACGTATATATGTATTTTCACATTCACAGAAACACACATGACACTGTGACCTGCCCGTTGATATTTCTCTGGTGTGTCCTTTGGTCTTCCCCATCGCTGTCTTCAAGTACACCAGCCTCCTTGTTTTGGAACCCATCAGACATGGCCCTCCCTCAGGGCCCTCGCACTTGTTCCTTTTGTCTAGAACGCTCTTTCTGTCTTTACATATGCTATCTCCTCTCCTTCAGGTCTTGACTCAAATGTTACTTTTTGTTCAGATCTTCTCTGATCACTGTATTTAAAATTCCAGCTACCCTCCCTTCCCTGCTTTCTTTTTCTCTATATAGACACTTAACAGTGTCTTATAAATTATGTGTTTTTCTTATTTTGTTAATTTTTCTATCCCACCACTAGATTGTAAGGTCTATAAGGGCAGAGATTTTTGTCTATTTTGTTGATTGTTTGATTCCCATCTATTAGAACAATGCCTGACACATGGAAGGCACTCAATAAATATTTGTTGATTGAATGAATGTTATATAATGTTTCCCATGAGACCCTAGGAAAAAAAAACTCAGAACAATAGATTAAGTGATGGCTTTACATTTTACATGTTGAGGTATGAAGTATCCCTCATAAGCAAAGATGTGGAGTCTGACAACATTTGATCATCAAAGAAATTCTTAAGCACTAGCTAATCCTGTCAAGCTTCCTAAAATAAATATCTGTAGCTAAATCATTCTTTAATATATGTATAAAAGTATATAAATTCCATAGCAAAGTTTTGCTATAACAATAAAATTTGGAGGTAAGAAAAGTAGACAAGCGTTTTCCTTTTTAGTATGAAAAGGGCTTTTATAAAGTGTTCATTTTCATAATTTTAAGAAGTCAGACTTTTAATCATTTATTTCTAAATATTTACGAAGGCCAACAAAGTGCCAGGTAATGTATTGGGTTGTCGGAAAAGTCATGACGCATTTTTGCAACGAAAAACAGAAAAAATACGTCATGACTTTTCCAACAACCCGATAGAAACATAATATATTAAGCTATATATGATACATTAAATTAGCTGAATAAAGCTACCAGTCTTTAGTATAGCTGAAATTTATTTCGTTTTACATTATAAAGCATTGTTATATTTCAGAGTATCTCCTCACCTCACTTTACAAGCCCTGCGGGAGCGTCTCAGCAAGTTCCTTGGTGAAGATGCTGTTGCAGAAAAATTTTTATTTCTGAAATGCATTGGAAATAATCTAGCTGTGGTAAGGTTTTTTCCCCCCTTTTGATTAAAGAAAACTGTACCTTAACAAATTACATTTTTTAAATTCTTATCGACTCAGCTTCTTAATATATTATGAGGTAATCGCAATCATAATGAAACGGAAATATCACTAAGCACACAGATCATCAAGAAATCATGGGTCTTATGGCATATTATCAAGTATAAAATGATGGGGGTATTTGTGTGTGTGAATTTCCTTAGGAAGAAAAGAAAGACAAATTTAAAATGTGATCATATAAGTAATGTGTATTTTTTAATTTAAATGATAGTGTTTAAAAGCTTTTTAAACAAATACTTGTGCAGAAAAATGGGTTCTCATAAATTGGGCCACAATTATACTTGTTTAGTGTGAAATGATATGACTCCAACATATGTATTTTTTTAATCAGCTGTTAATCTGTTGAACACTCCTATTTGTAGATTATACAGAGTTTTGATAGCTGAAATTCTCAATCCAATAAGCCATCAGATGTCAAAGTTTCTGGTTTATTTTTTTAATCAAGGTTTTTTATATGGAAACTCTTTAAAAATGCAGTATATTCCTACTCCACCTAGTTAACATATTATTAATTAATATGTATTTATTTATGTAATTATTTGTTTAACATCTAATTCTGCCATTAGACTGTAGCTCCCTGTGAGCAGGGGATTTATTTTATTCACTGGTATTTATAACCAGTGCCTAACAAGAGGCATTTAAATGTTTATTAAACAAATTAAATAATGAATGAAAATGGAAAGAAAATTTTACCCCAAAGTAGTATGATAGAAGAATTTGCTATGTGGAATTATTGGAATCAGCAATTAGATTTGAAGTTATTGTCATTTGAGTTTTATTTAATATGCCAGAATATTAATGTACTGATCTTTGGTTTTGACCTTGCAAAGATGTTGTGTGGGAAAAGTTTTCTGAGCAGAGAAAATAGAGTCAGAACAAGAGTAGAAAACCAGGCAACTAAGAAAGAGTGAAAGGTTCATTTTTTTGCTGGAGCACTGATTGTGTATAGTAAAGAATGAGTTGTACAAATAGTTTTGTTCAAGGTCTTTAATGCCACATTAATGAATTTAGATTTTTTTCTGAAGCCTTGGCGTTTTTGAGCAGAAGATGACATGATGAGAGCCTTAAGAGACTATAGATAGGGATTGTAACCAGGAAACTTTTGCAGCAGTTAAGCAAGAGATAAGCAGGTCCTAAGGAACAGGCTGCTTCTCAGATTTCATCTGCTACTATTTTCTCCTTGGTGCTACACTTCAGACACAAAAATCTTCCTTTGGTCCTCAACAGCAAATTCACTTTTGGTTTATAGCCTTTGCACATGCCTGGAAATCACCCCTGATTTTTGGATAGCCTGCTTCTTTTTTTCATGACTTAGGTCTCAGCTCAAATATTATCTTTTTTTATTATTATTATTATTATTATTATTATTATTATTTTGTGTCAGGTGTACAAAACAACATAATGATTAGACATTTAAACCCCTCACAAAGTGATAACCCCACCAAGTCCACTACCCATCTGACATCATACATAGCTATTGCAATATCATTGACTCTTATTCCCTATGCTGTACTTGACATCCCATGACTATATATATATATATAATTATAGTTGACATTCAATATTATTTTATATTAATTTCAGGTGTACAGCACAGGGGTTAGGCATTTATATAATCTATGAAGTGATTCCCTCAATAAGTCCAGTACCTGTCTGACACCCTACGTAGTCTTTACAACATTGATTATATTCTTCATACTATATTTCACATCCCCATCACTATTATGTGACTACCAATGTGTACTTTCTAATCCCTTCACCTTTCTCACCTGTCCCCTAATCCCCCTCCCATCTAGCAACCATCAGTTTGTTCCCTGTATCAAAGTCTATTTCTGTTTCGTTTGTTCATTTATTCTGTTCTTTAGATTCTACATATAAGTGAGATCATAGGTATTTGTCTTTCTCAGTCTGACTTATTTCACTTAGCATAATATCCTCTAGGTCCATCCATATTGTTGCAAATGGTAAGACTTCATTCTTTTTTATGGCAGAGTAATGCTCCAGTATATAAATATATCACAATTTTTTTCAGCCAATCGACTATTGTTGGACATTTCAGTTATTTCTATATTTTTGCCATTTTGAATAGTGCTGCAGTAAACATAGAGGTGCACATATTTTTTAGAATGAGTGTTTTGAATTTTTTTGGCTATATACCCAGAGTGGAATTGCTGGGTCAGGTAGTTCTATTTTTAATTTTTTGAGAAAACTCCACACTGTTTTCCATAGTAGCTGCACCAATTTGCAATCCCACCAACAGTGCACGAGGGTGTCCTTTTCTCCACAACCTTACCAGCACTTGTTTGTTGATTTATTGATGATAGCCATTCTGACAGGAGTGAGGTAGTATTTCACTGTGTTTTTTATTTGCATTTCTCTGATTAGTAACATTGAGTATCTTTTCATATGTCTATTGGCCATCTGTGTGTCCTCTTTGAAGAAATGTCTATTCCGTCCTCTGCCCATTTTTTAATTGGGTTGTTTTAGTGGTGTTGAATTGTATGAGTTTTTAAAATAAATTTTGGATATTAGCCCCTTATCAGATGTTTCATTGGCAAATATCTTCTCCCATTCAGTAGGATGTCTTTTTGCTTTGTTGATGGTTTCCTTTGCTGTGAAAAAAAATCTGTTTAGTTTGATGTAGTCTGATTTTATTTTTTCTTTTGTTTCCCTTGCTTGAGGAGATATGTCAGTAAAGATATTACTAAGGGTAATGTCTGAGAGCTTACTTCCTATATTTTCTTTTAAGAGTCTTATGGTTTCAGATCTTACATTTGAATCTTTAATCCATTCATTCTTGTATATGGTGTAAGAAGGTGGTCTGGTTTCATATTTTTGCAGGTATCTGTCCAGTTTTCCCAGCACCATTTATTAAATAGGCTGTCTACCCCGATGTAAATTCTTGCTTCCTTTGTCATAAATGACCATATAAGCATGAATTTATTTCTGGGCTCTCTATTCTGTCCATTGATCTATGTGTCTGTGTTTATGCCAGTACCATGCTGTTTTGATTACTATAACCTTTAGTATTGTAGTAAAATTTGATATCAGGTGGTGTGATACCTCCAGCTTTGTACCTTTCTTAAGGTATTATCTTTCAAGAGGGCCTTCCCGACCATTTAGTTTTTAGATATTCTTTCTCTAAGTTACGCTCTATTTTATCATTCTGTTTTATTTTCATAAATCACATATCCCTATCCTAAATCATGTTTACTTAACATTTGCTCTCCCAAGTAGAATGTATGCTACATGAGAGCAGGAACTTTGCATGTTTACCTAATTGTATCACCACTATATAGAATGCTGCCTGACATGCTGTATGCCCTCAATATTGAATGAATGAATGAATGACAAATGAACTCTATGGGTTGAACGTTTAGGAATTAAAGTATACAAGGTTGGGCTCTGGAACTAGATGACCTGGTTTTGATTCCCAACGTGGAAACTTTCTACCTGTAAAATGTTGGGAAGTTACATAACTTCTCTTTGCCTCAATCTTATCCGTGAACTACAAATAATATGTATGTCTATCATATGAACTTGTGAGGATTAACTCATATATATATATATAGATAGATAGATAGATAGATAGATATAGATATAGATATAGATATACATACACACACAGAGGGTGCCAAAAAAATATATACACATTTTAAGAAAGGAAAACTGTATTAAAATTGTAATACTCAATATATACCGATAACAAAAGATGAATACAGGTCATGTTTGACTTCTGCAATTACAAGAGGTGCTCAAAGTGGTTACCATCAGCATCCAGACTCTTCTGATTATGGCGAACTATTGCTTGAGCAACCTTGACCGAAGTGTCCACTTGTATACATTTTTTTTGGCACCCCCGATATAACTTAAAATAGTGCCTGGCACATAGTGAGTCCAGGCAAGTGATAGCCATGCTTACTATTATTAAATGACATAGAGTTTCTATTATGTTTAGTACAGCAAATAGAAATAAGATTATATTCTACATTTTCTAGAATCCAGCCTTAGTTACCAGCTTTTAGATTTGATTTGTGTTGCAGATATGTGCCTTCTGCAAAAAAGTAGGGGTAAAAAATAATTGAAAAACATTACAAAAGCTTTAATTTTTTTTCTCATTCATTTATTTCTAGGTAAAGGCAAAACAAGAATCAGAACTGAAACTCAAATCATTTGCTTCTCCATATGTATGTAATGTGACAGCTTAAATTTATGCTCATTTTTTAACTTACTGGCTAATTTTTTAACTTACTGTTTTTTAAATTACAAACTGATTATTTAAAATTTTGTATATATTTTAGGCTCTTCAACCAGGATTATATTTGCTTCCTATAATGGATCATTTAGGAAATATTTATTCAACATCAACTGTTTCTTTAGATGAGCAGCAGACTCATAATGGTGTTGCTAAGGCTGATGGAATAATCCACAGACCAGTTAGTGTAACTTTGTCAAAGGAAGAACCTAGAACAACAGATCCCAGTTTTTTAGATAACACTTTGGAAGAACTTCTTAACAAGAATCAGGAAGAAGGTGATTTCAACTGGAATGGGAAAGCCAAAGAGGTTATTATTGTATTTTAGCAGCCAGGTCTGTAAGCAAATTCTGGGCAAATCTAGCCTTACAAATGTGGGCAGTATAAAAGGAAAGCTACAATTCAATTTGGGTATTTTTAAAAATAGTTTCACCAGGTGGGAGATAAAAAACAATTTATGTACTATGTTAAAGTGAAAACAAAATCACAGGGCTGGCTGAATGGCTCAGTTGGTTAAGAGCGGGAGCTCTGAGCAACAGGGTCTCCAGTTTGATTCCCACATGGGCCAGTGAGCTGCGTCAGAACGGAGATGCTGCTGCTGAGCTGCCAACAGGTGGCAGGACGGCTGAGCTGGTGAGAGCACGTGCTCCTAACAAGGTTGCTGGTTCGACTGTTGCATGAGATGGTGGGCTACGCCCACCCACAACTAAGATTGAACACTGCACCTTGAGCTGAGCGGCCATGAGCTGCCCACGGGTGGCCAGATGGCAACTGGACTTGGAACTGAGCTAACTGTGCCCTCCACAGCTAAGACTGAAGGACAACTTGGCTGTTCCCCTTCTCCAATTCCCCAATAAAATCTTAAAAAGAAAAAAAAAATCACAATGCTTACAGCACTTAAACTCTGCCACCTTTACTTCTTTTATAATAGTTTCAGAGAAAGTTAAGGCTAAATATGAAAAGAAAGGAAATGATGAGTGCATAAAACCTTGGTATTAATTTTTTAAGTCCAGGAAGATCTTAGCCAGGGAAACAGTATTACACCAAAGCAAAACAACTTTAATGTTGGTTGACATTTATATTTCAAAGAATTTAAAATTTTTTATCTGAGTATACCCATCAATTTACTGATGATTCAGTTCTTAAGTGGTAGGCAATTAAATCAAAATTAAACTTATAAATATACAAGTAAAGCTAGTACTACACTCTAAGAATAAATTGAAAAATTATTTGAATTCTTTTACCTCATTTCATATAGAATATAAACTGGGATGGAAAAGCAGATATACCTGCTTAACCCAATTTTCCCCAAACTGAATTGACCAAAGAATTCTTTCACTTTCATGAAATTCACTTTGGAAATAGTTGCCTTGTATTATGTATGGTAAAGTTCATGGATATTCTGAACCACAGAACAAGATAATAGCATCTACATATAAAAACAAAATTTTATTTTAGTATTTTCTTAATGCTATGAACTCTATTTGCCATGGATAAATGTCAACATCAGCTGAGGGAAAAGACACTCCAAAAGAAAACCAGCCTGGAAAAAACCAATTTGGAAATTCTGAATTGCCAGGATCATTGGATGATTCAAATGATTATTTTAGCAACAAAAACAGGTAATTAGTGTAAATATTGATTGCACATGTCATAAGCTAAACTATAAGAAGAGTGAGATAGCCAGGGTACTTTTATAGGGATTTCTAACTAGAATAAAGATATGAGTGAAATCAATGATATTTTAAATTAAAATTACATTGATTCTGATCTTTGCTGTTATATACCAACATTCCTCTCCAAAAAAATGATGGATATTTTATCGATTAAATTTATTTCTGTTGTAAAACTTTTGCTATCAGGGGCAACTTAATGACGGAAAAATTTCTGTATTCATTTGCGTTTCTTAGAACTTAATTTTTCAGCCTGTTTTAGATTCTTGGTTATGGGTAAACTAATTCATATGCTTCAGTTTCACATTGGTATCATTTCATTCAGAATTATAGTACTTAAGCAACAGTTCTGCATATACTCATCTTTTTTTATTAATATAAGGAATTTTATAAACAATTATTCACAGAAGAACTGCAAATAAAATATGTTTACAAAATTTCCACTTATTTACCTTGCAATAGACATTGGACTATAATATGAATTTAGCTATAATATAATGAAATACAATTTTATTACTGATATTAAATGTAGTTTATGTTGATTGTTAATGAGTTTGAAAGATAATATGATAATTCTCAGGCTGACTTTAAAAAATTTTTATGTTATATCTATGTTTACAGAAGATGAAATAAAATATATAAAAGATAAAAAGCTAACATTTATGGGATCATTTTTAATATCACTTTCAAATCTCTCATTTTCTTTAAGTCAATTTCTTTGGAAAAATGAAGATGATAGAGTTAATATCATTAGAAAAGATGACAGTCAGGTATGATTTTAAGATGTTTCTTTAAATGTTGTATTGAAATTCAAAATGAAACTGCAGATTAAAATGTCGAAATTTTCTAACTTTATTGGTTAGAGAGTAGGAGAAAAGCCTGAAGAAAATTCAGGAGCCTGCCAGTTCGGTGAAATTTCTGAGTTCCATGATCTGGGACCTGTTATGCCCTGTGAAGTGAGAGCCAATGTTTTTGTATTTTGCCCCAGCTACCCTTGAGAATGAGTCACTTGATGGGCCTCTGGAATTTGGAGAGAAGCTTACCGCATTTGGATATGCTGCTCCAATCTTCTTTTTTTTTTTCTTTTAAAGATTTTTATTGGGGAATAAGGGGATGGGAACAGCGCTGGGGAATTGGGGAAGGGGAACAGACAAGTTGCTGTCGTTTTGGTCTTCAGTCTAGTTGTGGAGGACGTTGCTTCACTGGCCCAAGTTGGCACCATCATTGTGCTCTTCCTGGGCGAGGCAGATCAGTTGCCGGCTTCTGGACGGCTGCTCACTGCGGCTGCTGGCTACACACAGTAGCCCATGACAACCCACTGCCACTGGGGCTGCAGCCTATGCTGTCGCTGGCGACTCTTGGCAGCCCAGCTCCAGGTTGAGCTGTTGTTCAGCATCTTAGCTGTGGAGGGCAGTGTCACTGGCCCTCATATGTGGGATCCTAACCGGGGCCCTCTGGCGTCCCAAGCCAGTTCTTAACCATCGCGCCACGCGGCTGGCACCTTTTTGTTTTTTTAATAAAGTAATCCAAAAGACTGCCAACTTTGAGTGGACCCAAAGCAAGAGAAGCCTCACCAGGTGATCCAAGAGGCCTTGCAAGTAGTGCTGCCACTTGGGTTTGAATGTCCAGCTAATCCAGTGATGCTTGATGTGTCGTGGATTGGAATGCTATGTGGAGTCCAAGGCAAACCCTGGGAGGAGGATCACAGCTCTGAGCCCCACAGAGCTGTAATTAAGTGTGTTTTGGAGCAGAGGCATGCCATCTTCAGCAAATAATAGCTCTATTGTTGCTGGATATTAATAAAACATGCTGTCTTCATGCTTTAACATTTTTGTCAGTCTGGTGGATGCTTAATGCTAGTTCACTGAGGTTTGGATTTTGATTTCTTGGATTACTCATAAAGTAGATCATGATTTTATATTTTATGAACTCCATTTTGATAACTTTGTTTGGAGGTAACTTTTCAGGTATTTCTATAGTGTGTCTGCCATAGATTTCAGATTAATGTGAGTTTTTAATATACTCTAAGAGATGACAGTTCCTTGATGCTTATTTGTGTTGCAAATATCTTTCTCTCTTCTGTGCCATGTTTATAGTGTACCTTGCTGAATACATTGTTTAATTATTCTATATCGTTATTTCCTTCCACATTCTTCTATGTCTTAGACTGACAATGGTATAGTAGAATGTGTTGTTATTAGTGTGTTACTTTTTATCCTTACATCTCCTATGGTTCCTGATTTAATTTAGATTTGGCTCAAAGTTGTTCTTAAGTGAACATTAATATCACTTTTGCATTATGAAGTATCCTTCTTGGACTTATTTGTGCTTTTTTGGCCTAAATTCTTCCTTATTGTATATTACTTTCGTTTTCTTTTTGTTTACATTTTTGTTATGCTCACCATCTTTCTTTCCCTCTTTTTTCCCAGCCTTTCTGAATTGCTTTGTTTTAGGTATACCTTTTACATATAGTTTAGAGCTGTGTTTTGCTTTATGAGCCAGTTTGAAAATGTTTTTCATTTAGTAGATGAGTTATGTCCACTTATGTATTGATGGAACTGATGTTTGATGTCAGACTTGTCATTTTTTATAGTGCAATAGCGAGTATGATAGTGCGATAGAGAGAACAATAGTACAATAGAGAGAATGATAGTATGATAGAAAATGAAAGTACAATAGAGAACAATAGTATGATATAATACGATAGAACGATAGTACGATAGAGAGAATGATAGTATGCTAGAACAACAGAAAGACAGAAAGAAAGATATAGAAAGATGATATACGGAAGGAAAAGCAAGGAAGGAAAGAAAAATGATTTATTGAAAGGAAGGAAAGAAAAACAAGATAAAAATGATATAGATGGAAGCAAAGAAAGAAGAAAGATGGTGTAGATGGTGATAAAGAAAGATGAAAGATATAGAGTAAGAAAAAATGAAAGAGAAAGATATATAAAGATACATACATAGAAAAAGACAGAAGATATATGAAGCAAGGAAGGAAAGAAGGAAACGATGTATTGAAAGATATAGTAAGATATAGTAAGATACAGATATATTGGGTTGTGGGAGAAGTCATAACGCATTTTTGCAATGAAAAACAGAAAAAATATGTCATGACTTTTCCGACAACCCAATAGAAAGATTGAAAGAAAACTGTAGATTAGATAAAGATATATAGAAAGTAAGATATAGAAATCTTTGATAAAAAAGGAAAAAGGGAGATTTTAGAGAGAAAAATTGTGTTTCAGTGAAAACACTAGAATGCACACTTGTGGCTATTACAGTCTACTTCAGTTAATTATTTTTAGAGTTTTATTTTTCACCTATAAATGTCTATATCGTGACTTCTAATTTCTGGAATTTGGCTGCAACATCCCAAACTAAACTTTACAGAAAGAACATCCGCTACAGTAGGTTTCTAATAATATTCTTTGCTCTGTGAAACTACCTTTCCAAAACCCCAATGTGTTAGATCTGTTTGGGTCAAAGTTCCCTCTTTTGTTGTTATATATATATATATATATATAATATATATATATATATATATATATATTTTTGTAGCTGCCCGTTAGAACAGAAAAAGATTTTTATTGGCTTAATAGGGAGAAGAAATATTTTTAAGTCTGGGTAATTTAGCTGTTAATTACTGTTGTTTGTTCTAGCTGCAGTATCAGCTAAATTATTATTTTCCTTTCTATGATGACAGCCTTAGAATGTTCTGGAATTTTGATAATTGCCAAATGTTTCAGTTGTTGGATGACATCTAATTTAAATTCTGCAACCTGTTTTCCATTCTTATGGGCTAACGTGAAGAAGTTAAGAAGCCTCACTGCTTCCACAAGTTGTGAGCTACACCAAAGGTATAGCAACTCCCAGTGTAAATATTGGCTATTTGACCTTTGGCTCATTTACAAGCTTTTGTTAGATCAATTAATTCAGCTTGTTGGGCTGATCTTATTCAAGTAAATAAGAAGCTTAAATTTATGATTACCATGAAAGTTACTGCATATAGCATAAATATAATTCATCCATGTATCAGATTAGAAGAGAATTTTGGGGGAATTCAACATTATTCAAATCAGCCTGTAGTATCTGAGAGAAATAGGTGGGACTCTGTATACCCCTGGGGCATTACTGTCCAAGTAAACTCTGATCTTCCCAGGTGGAAAAGCAAAGAGGTATTTCCTGTCTTTTTCACAAGAATGCTGAAATAAGCACTATATAAATCTATAACTGAAAAATATTCACAATACACACAGGAATAGCTGATAATAGGGTATGTGGATTTAGAACCACAGGGTATCTATTTATAGCTGAGATTTTGTGCAAATATCCATCCTTTCCCATTGGGTTTTGTTTTTTTTTACTGAAAGGATAGGAGAATTACAGGTGCTCATACATAGAATTATAAGCCCTTCCCCTGTTTAAAGGTAATCTTGTACAATGAGCTAATTCAAGCTGGTGTATCAGGCCTCAAAAGATATTGGCAAATATTAGATAGAGGCAAAGTATTATCAATAGGTATTTTAATAGGAGTGGCTGACTTAATCTTGCCAATCAATATCTGGCAAAAAGTACTGGAAAAAAACTAAAATTGTATTAGAACATCCTGTAACAAACATTCATCAGTATCAAGACTAGTTTTCTCTTCTGGGGCTGGTGGGGTGACCCTGAGATGGCCCTGGACTTGGCCTGTCTAAAATCTGGCCTGCCTGTTAATGCCTACAACGGAGTATGAACTCCAGAGTCCTAAAATACAGAAGTTTACATAACTATTAGCAAAACTTAGTTCTTAGATTTAGTTCTCTTGAATAACTAAAGACCTAATTAAGACAATATAAAACATAGAGAAATATTTTGATGACAAATAGTTTTTGGCTTTCAGGCAAAAAACGTTTCCATATCAGTAGCAGACCAACAGTCTTATAACAAACTTTGTTTTACTTAGTAGAGAAAGAAAACTTAATTTTGCATCAGCTTACTCTTGATATTTAAATTTACTTAATCGCATTTAGCATAACCATACATAAAGTTCTTTCAAGATTTTCCTTTACAAACTTTCTATAACTTTCCCAGTTCCTTAGTTTGTCTCTTTTAAAATCATTATTTCCCCAATCTAGTTCATTTAGTCCCAAAAACATTTCACCCTTCTGGGAGGATATGTGAACATCATTGATTAGAAAGTCTCACACTATCAGGTGAGTTGGGATAGATTTGAGCAATAAAAATACAAGGTGCCCATTAACATTTCTTACACGGAGAGGAACAGATTCTGATTTAAAAACAGACATTGGTTGATTAGATGTCCCTATACCATTTGTACAGAAGCTTTACTCCAAAGGGGAGGGCAACCTAGCCAGGTGGTGTTAACAGATTAAGTAGCCCCAGTGTTAGTAGGAAGGGGAAATGCACTTAATGGCCATTGGAGCAGCCCTATGCTTGCTTCTATTTCCTTTCTTTTTCTAAATCCTATTTTAGTTTTCTACAATCCTTAAGGTGACCTGGCTTTACAATAAAAGCACATTCCTCTTACAGGAGTTTCCCTAGCAAACCTTAAATAATTTTTTTGCTTTGTTTTCAGAAACCAGTAGGTGCATTAATTGGAATAACTCAGAAAAGCCAGGATTATATGTTCTAACACTTAATTCAAATTTCTTTGCGAACTCATCAGAGTCCTAGAGAGGGTTGGGGGAATCTTTAGATTTCTTTGTTCTGCCTGCATACAACCACGATTCCTCTCCACCCAAGACCAGCTCCTCCCAAACGGAGCTGCTGCAACAGAGGTGCAGAAAAGAGAGACAGAGAAAAAAAGGAGAGTAGGTCCGGACAAGTAAAGCACATACTTGGACAGCTGAAGAGGAAAAAGTGGGGTGTTGGCATTTAGCAGCTTCAGAAACCTTTAGTTCAGAGACAGTCTCTAAAATTTTCTTACTAGCTTCCTGGAGTGAAGAACATCTCTCTACCATTTCAGAGGCTTCTATTTGTCAATTGAGGGAAGCCTCCCATTCTGTTTAGTTTGACCTTTAAGCCAGCGTTTTCTAATTGTGCACACAAATATTTAGATGTCAAAAGACCTCCATTTTGGCCATCTTAAGTTGATATCACCTCTAGATAAACCTTTCCATGTCAGTAAGTACTTGCAAAACTCCTAGGAATTGTACGTCTAACTGCAGGAGAATAATGGCGCTGGAGTCTGGGAGCTTGTTGGCTATTGAAGCATGATTTCCCATGTTATTAGATTTCTTTTGAGATCTGCAGAGTCTGAACAAATATATAGTGATATTATGTAGTGGGTTGAAATGTGCTGTGTATGGGTTGAGCTCCGAGGGGCTGTCACTTCCCGAGTCGCTTCAACCCTCTTACGTGTCTCGGTTTCTCTCCCCAGCTGTCTAATACAACCGTGAGGACTCAGAGCGCTAGGTAACCAGCCTTTATGTGTGCGTCCCCGGACGAGTCCAATATTTAATTACAGTTGTGTTGGAATTCCCTATGGGGCCACTGCACGTTTTGAGGGGTACCCTCAAACACCTCCACAAAGATTCTTAGTCACCTAAGAATACCCAAAATTTGAGCTGGAGGGAGTAAATGCCCCTTATCTTCAGAGTTGAACAAGTTCAGACTCATTAATCTGGTGAAAAGTTTTGTTCAGACTCTCAGTAAGCAATTCCAATTGAAAAGCCAAAATAAAAACCAGCCACCCATTTCATTTCTCCTCTCCAAGAGTTACCTTAACTCTTGTCCTTAACCTGGGTTACCTCAACCCTGCCACCTCGAGGATTTTAAAACAGCTCAAATAAAGTCAGGGCCTCCTACCTTAAAACAGGGAGGTCTGGAATTCCAAGAAAAACTCACCCAAGTTCACCCGATGCTAAGCAGGGAGCCGGTGGGGCACAATGGGCCCCTGTTGGTACCTAGCACCAAATCCGAATCCAGGCCTGCAGGGTGTCCCTGGGTGGGCTTCTTTGGAATCCTGCCTGACTACACCAAGTAATGTTGACGAAAAACATCCAGCCTAAGAGAAAACTTGTAAGAGTTTATTTGAGCCAAACTGTCGACAATTGCCAGGAAGCAAAATCTCAACAGATTGAGAAAATGCTCCTGATTTGTCATTTTTTTAATGTTATAGTTAGTACATGCTACTATGTGGGGTTTTTGCACTTTCCCCCCTCTCCTTGTATTTAATAATATTGTACTTTTGTTCTAGTGTTTACCTTTATATTAATACATTCATGCTAGCAATTTTAGTCCTCTTTTCTCTTTTTTAATTGATTCTTCTACTTTTGATTTATTACCTCTAAAGTTATTCTTTGACTCCTACCTGTTGCATTCACTATAATCAAAAAATCACCCTTTCCCTTACTTTCTTCTCTCATGTAATTTTAGTTGTGTTATTTCTACTTTGTCAAAGAATATAACATTTATATACTGTGCTTCTAATTTTATCCCCATCACCTCTGTTTTAGTCTCAACTAAATATGTTCAACACTTACTGCCAGTTCTTTTGTAGAATATTTTTCAATCATCTCTTGCTTGGATTAAGCTCAGTTTATAATAGACAGAGCTCTTCAGTACAAAATTCCCTTACTTCTTCCACATTATAAACGTTGTCTAGAGCAGGGGTGGGCAAACTATGGCTGCAGGCTGTTTTGTGAGGTTGTGACCTACTAATGTTTTTTACATTTTTAAAGAGTTGAGGAAAAGAAGAAATATGACAGTGATCATGTGTGGCCCCCGAAGCCTAAATTATTTACTCTCTGGCCCTTGACCAATGAAGTTTGCTAATCCCTGCTCTAGAGCCTGGATACTTGCACAGTTTGATCGGCTCTAACATCCTTGGCTTATACATTTTTCCTCTGAGTTTCTTTAGAATGTTGCCGTACTTAAATCTTGTTTCATGTGTTACTATTAAAAAGTGTGACACCACCCTGATTTTCTTTTCTCTGTAAGCTAGCTGGCTTGAGTATTTCAGTCTGAAAGGCCAGAGGATTCCTTTAATGTGTAATAATGTTACCAGGCTGTATCTCAGTTGAGAGTTCTAGGTCATGTTCCTATGGGCACACAATGGGCCCTTTCAGTATGAAAATCAGAACTTTTGTTTTCAGAAATTAATTATAATTTTAAAAACACTTTAAGTAGCAGATCTATTCCATTGGTTTGTTTTTCTTTTTCAGGGGCCACAATTAGTCGTATCTCAGCTCTTCTTATCTTTTATATCTGTTACTTCTCTAATCTATTTTACTATTTTCTTTGTTTCATTTTCTTTGCCCCTTTTATTTCTGTTCTACATTATCCTTACTGTATATTTGGTCATATCTTTTCCTTCTTGGATGCCTGCTAATTTACTCATTCCTAAGACAATTTTGGTTTTTCTTTAATTTCTTTCTTCAGTTTGGCCATCTTCCATTTCACATCTTCCTGTTTTCCATTTTTATTCTGAGTTATTTAATTTTAGATTTATGAGTATTCGTTAATATCTGCAAAAGCCTCCTTGATTATCTTTAATGTAGGTAGGGAATATTGTTAAATTTTTCTCTGCTTTATGGCTGCCTGTTTTTAAATTTTGTTTTAGTTTTCAATTTTGAGCGTTTTAAAAAGTAACTTTGTGTGGACACTAGATACTTTGTAGATGTTGTTTGTACATGTTCATTTGTGTGGATTTTTCTGCATTAGTAATAACAGATGTTCTAATAGAGGAACAGGGAGTGGTGTTTTGGTGGCTTTTCTGCTTCTTAGATTAGGGGGGCCCTCTTCCTCTTTGTTGATATAGTGAAATACAGTTATTTATTTATTTTTAAATAAATGTGGCCTTTTGGGAAAGGGGTCTGTTTTCTTTGGGGTTTTTTTTTTTCCTGCTAATTTAATTCAGCAGAGCTCTTATCTTGGCCACTCTTCTTTTTCCTTACCACGTTGCCCTGAAGGAATACCTCTCACTTCCAGAGCATTTTCCTCTCTCTCAGAAGCTATGTCTTCCCATAATTAGCCTCTCTCTGGCCTCCTACGTTTTACAAGCCCCTGTCTTTGGATTTCCCATAAAAAGTGCTATGCTGCACCAGATCTTATTCTCACTCTTGGTATTTCTGCTCTGCATGGGAGGAGCTGCTTCTTCCAGGCTAAACTGTGGTTGATGTTTGCTGTGTTATCTGTTCGTAGTTCTCTAATGTACAGTCACATCTGTCAGCTCAGTCGTCAGCTCATGAACACACTCTGCTGGTCTAAGGTGTTTATTTCCCTACTGCATGTAAATTAAGGCATGTGTCAATTAAAGGTTTCTGTGTCCTAGTTATGCTGTAGGTGTAAATTATGGGTGACTTTATTTGCTTTCCTTTTATAGTAGTCGAGATGATGTGTGGACAGATTCTGATTTAGGTGGTTGCCTTTATCCTGTGAGAGCCTGACTTTTATAAGTTAAAAAAAATAGCATAGCCTTTAAAAGGAACAATAGAGCAAAGTAGTAGTAAGGGCTTAATAAAGATAGATGTAGAAACTAGTAAGTTACAGAATTTAAAACTCTAGCAGAGGTGAAACAATTCAAGATCTAATAAAGTGGTGGTGGGAGAAACATCAACATTGGTAAGGCTTGAGGTAGTTTATCAAAAAAGAGCAGAAATATAAAAATTAGGACAGGTAAAGGTGATATAAACACAAATACAGAGTAGGTCAAATATATGAAAATAATATGTATGCTAAAATTTGAAAATGTGATAGACTGTCCCAATTTTCTAAGTGATCAAAATTGGCTCAAGATTAAAAAAAAAGCAGTAGGTATCTTAGAAAAATTTAAATGTTACTAGAAGAACTAAGATCGGAAATATAGAATAAAATCATTTGGAAAGCAGTAATGGGTTTTTGTTTTGTTTTGAATTTTGAATTTCAAGTCCCTGTGGTTAATGCCCATCTAATAGTGGAATGCAGAAGCTGGAGCACAAGAAAGAACCCATAGCTATAAATAGAGATTTGGGAGTTCATCACCCCATAAGTAAAAAAAATGCATTGCTGTTGTACATTATCAACTGCCTACAGATGGGTGAAAAATAGTATGTCACCCTTCCAAATCTTACTGATTTTCATGTTTTCTTATACAGATAGGTAAAAAAGAGTGCATCACCATGCCAGATCTTATTGATTTTCCTTCATTTCCTTGTCAATCTGCCTTGACTCCAGGAACAACTGAGACCTCTTTATTACAGATTGAGAGTAAGTGTGAGGTAAAATTAAATGATGTTAACATCTAATGTTTGATGAGAACAGAGTTTCAGTTTGGGAAGTTAAGAAAAGTTCCGGAGATAGATGATGGTGATGGTTACACTACATTGTAAATGTACATAATTCCATTGAACTGTACATTTAAAAATGCTTAAAATGGTAATTCTATTATGTATATTTTGGTAAATTATTTTAAAGTATATGAATTGTATGTTTATTACTACATATGTTTAGTCAGTAATATTTCTTTTAAAAATATATGCTAAAATTTACATTTTCTGTGTAAAATTCAAGTATAATAACTTGGGCTCAAGGTAAATTAATCAAAAGAATTAAAACAAGAAATATAACTTCTTGAGCTTTATCTAGTTTTACAAATACATGTAAATTCAGATGAGACATACTGTATTATTTACATATATGAAAATCACCTTATGTATCACTCTTAGAAACTAAAATGACTCCTTAGTGTTTTCCACAGGGGCAAATGCTATAATTCAGGAAGAAAAACAGAATTTAGGTAAAATTTATTTTTGCTGTTTTAAGCATATTGAAGTTGTACACACTATATTTTAGGAAATGAACCATCTTTTAGCTATTCGACATTGATAAATATGGGTTATAATATTTTAGGAGAGAAGATTATCAAACAAATGAAACAAGTAAAGGAAGAAAGAAGATATTTGGAAAGAATTAGAGAAGAACTAATGAGAAAAGTTGAAAAGCTATATGAACAAAGCAAATTAAAGCCATATCACGGTAAAATCTATTACATATCTTTTATCACTATAAAGAAAAAAACTTTGTACAGTATTTATGCTTTTTAATGTCTACTATTTTACTGTTATGATTTAAGCGGTACACTACTAATATAAGTTCAATAGAGAAAACATTAAATCATTGCTCAACTATTTTATGCAATAAACACAGTATGATTTACATAGGGTATTTTTTACTAAAATTCAAATATTTTTATGTGACATTCATTTATTTGTTGCTTCGTTGTTCCATCCATTCACTGAATAAGTATTTATTAAGCACCTACTGAATTTAACCACTGTTCTAGGGGCTGAGGAGATGCAGATAGTCAGACACGCTCTTGTCACTGTCCTGAGAGCTTACAGCCCGCTGGGGAAATGATGACTCAGTTGAGCAGTAATGATACATCCTGATGAACACCATGGTAAAGGCATCACAGAGCTCTGTGCCTAGGAACACAGGAGAAGGACACTGAAATTAGGTGAAGTGATCAAGAAAGCCTTCCAGGAAGATGTGCTAGAATCTGAAGCGTGCCTCCTCTTAATTGCAGGCCTCAGGCACGCTTTTCCCTCCATCTGCATCTGCCTGTCCTACCTCCCCCTTCTGTCCCCTTCTTCCCCGTTCACCTGCCTATCTCCTACTGATCATTCATTTCAGGTTACATATCACTTCCTCTAGAAGCCTTCTGTGAGTCCCTCAGTCTGCCCTAGGTGCTGAATTTGTTAGGATGTCTGTCTGCTTTGCTGACCTGAATGAATGAATGAATGAATGAATGAATGAATGAATGAATGAGAGACTTAACTAGGGAAAGTAGGTAGTTTTCTTACAATAGAGTTAGAAACGTTGTTGTTGGGACTGGTGGAAATGGAAAAAATGAGCCAGGGTGGAGAAAGTATAGGATAATGGTTTGCGAGATGTTAAATGATTTGAGAGGCCTGTATTTTGGGTTGTACTTGAGAATTATAAGGGTAAAAGGTTTATGTGGAATTAACTGGTTTAGGATTCTCAATTTACAGCAAAATTATTGTTTCAGTACTAGAACTGCCTGAAGGTTACGGCCACCATCAGGAGATATTTCTGAAGGTTCTACCTCCTAATATTAAAGTGCATCGGCATCGCAGAAGTGATGACAATGCTAGCCTTGTTGTAATGCGAAACAAGTAATTGTATCAGACAAATTTGAGCAATGGACTGGAAATCACAGCACCAAGATTCTAATACCAGATCAGTCTTTTACTTAGGCAAGGAGTTTCTCCTTTGTGCCTCATCTTTCTTTCTATAAAATGAGAATGATCAGTCACTTTCGACTTCAACAGGAATGTTTCCAGATAAAGAATGTATCAGCCATCAAATATTTATGGAGCCTACTATGTGCTTCAATGCCAGCATTTTTTTAAAAGCTGAGGATACAGCAGTAAATAAGAAAAAAGTGGCCCTGCCCTTTAGAGCTTGCTTCTAAAATGGAGGGGGCGAAGGTAACAGACAATAAGCAAAAAAGACAATATCAGCTACTGATTAGAGCTGAGAAGAGCATCATTTAAAAGAGCATAATATAGAGTGATGGGGCAGGAGAGGTGCTTTAGCTGGTGGTTCCAAGGACACCATTTCTGTGGAGATATCGTTACAATTTAATTAATAAGGAGGCGGGCATGTAAACAGATAGGGAAAAACAGTCAGAGCAGCAGGACATGAAATGTCAAGGTCCTGAGATAGAATGAGCATGTGGTCTTAGCCCTGAAACAAGGCCAGTGTGGTTGGAGTGTGATAAATAAGCAGGAATGGAGAGGGAGACAAAATCAAAAGTTCAGCAAGGGACAGAGGCCAATTCAGGAGTTTGGATTTTATTCTCATTAAGATGGGAAGCCATTGAAGGATTTTTAAGCTAGAGGTTTACATGATTTCTAACATATTTTACAAAAATCAGAATGACTTCTATATGGACTAGCGTGCAGAGGGGCCAGCCAGCATGAAAGCTGAGAGACAGACAAGTTAGTAAGTTAATGCAGACTATACAGAGCATGAGGATTAGATACATGGCAAAAGTCAAATTTCGAGTTAAGTTCCATATAGTTATATAATTTTAATCAAATCACCACATAGAATTTAATGTGGGGTTTGATTTTTTTTGATAATCTTTGAAAAAAAAAACACCAATTCTGGTATGCTAGCATGTAGTTTGTGTTGCTGTTAAGTTTGTACTTAGAAGAATCTCATTTTGCCTAAGTGATTTCCTGGCTGGCAGTGTTGAATTTCTAATTAAAGATCTCAGGTTTGAGAAATTCTGCCCCACACAGTTTTGGGGATGTATTTGGAAGAATTTTGATGAATGATGACTCAGAATCAGATGATATCACAAAACAAGTCATTGTGGCAACTAAAAAAACAAGGAAAAATCTGAAAACGTATATTATGCCTCTTTCTTTCACAGTTATAGTGATATAAATCACTATAATCAAATCAGATTATGTAAAAGTAATCAAAATAAAAATATATGCATTTGCTATTGGTAGTACTTTTAATAAAGGTGTTCTAGAAATGATAACAAGCTTAAAGAAGGACTTGATTGTGGTTCCTGAATTTATACTATTTACTGTATTTGTAGATAAGGACTTGTATTAAACATTTTGCTCTTAGCTCTAATTTCCTCAGCATGTAAGGAAGGAAGAAGAGGGGAGTAGGCGGGTCTAAATTAACTCTAGGGTCCTTTCCAGGTTGAAAAGTTTAATCCTTTAATCAGACTCAAACTATAGCCTTTGCTTTTTTTTGTTTGTTTTTATAGCCTATGATGGTTGGAAGAAAAAGCACTTTGAAACAAAGAAAGTCACAGCATCATTGGAGGAGGTTTTAACAAAACTTCGAGAAGATTTGGAACTTTACTATAAAAAATTGCTCATGCAACTTGAAGCCAGGGAGATCAAAATGAGACCAAAGAATCTGGCAAACATCACAGACTCTAAGGTGCTACTAAAAGTGTTCACATTTTACTAGAGAAGTTCTATTCAAGATACAGTATATGCCATTTCATTGTTAGTATTATATTTTGGATGCTAGGACCACAAGTAGCAAGACCTTGATTTAACCTGGTTTAAATAAGAAAATTCATGATCTCATGTAATGGTTGCTAAGGAGATACAATCAGCATCTTAATGATGTCTGTAAGGGCTTAAGTGCTGGTAATATTTCCTCCCTATTATTTTCAAGTGTTGGATTCATTATAAGACTGCTTCTCCTCATGGTAGCAATAGAGCTGCCTATGGCAAGTAGGGCTGTCTCCCTCCATACCCAGAGAGAACCTCTCCCAGTTGCATGGAACATATAAAACTTTCCCTTTTGCCTGGTGGGGCCTTAACCAGGCCCACCGTGTACTAGTGATAGTTACCAGAGAGTGTTATGTGCTGACTTAGACCAATTAGGATCAAATCTGTACCTGAGGCCAGGGTCACTTCCTCTGATTTTATAGGGAAGAGATTAACACGTGATGCAATATGGAGGGGCAAGAACATGGTTACCACACTTCTCTTTTTTAGTGTGTGTGTGGGTTAATAACACCCACGGAATCAGGTATTGACTTTCTAAAGAAATTATTAAATTATGTTTAATTTTCATCAATTGATTTTTTTGAGATAGTCTTGAATGTTGAAAACTGTGACACCTGAAGTTTATATTTTCGTCGAGTAATTCTACCACATATTTAAAGAACAAATTCCAGAGGCCACTTTTCAGTTTAACTTTATTGATTGATCCCACTTATCCAAAAAAAGATCTTATGGTAATTACCATTAAAAGCATGGTTTTAACTTAAGACATATTGAAACATTAAAAGTTCATTCTTTTGTATTTTCCCAATTTTATTGAGATATAAATGACATAATGTTGTATTAATTTAAAGTGTACAACACAATGATTTGATATAATTATATACTGTGAAATGATTACCACAATATATC